CTATGAAGCGGTACATAAGTCTAACTGCTATTGCTAAAATGCAGTAAGAAGGCTAACTGGGTATTTTGTGGATTTATTTATTTAAGTTTATTTATTAACTGTATATGCTTCCCCATCTCACTGAGTTAGCTGGTCCTGCCCTGAATCATGGTTTTGTCTTTGTTACGGCCAAAGCAAATAAGAATTGGGCAGTTGCTGAAGCTGGAGTTAACTCTTCATGCACATATTTTCTCATTCACTGCATTCAGGTTCCTTCTTTGCCTTGTGCCTTGAAATGCAAGTTTTAAAAATGGTTAAAATATATTTGAAGCATTAGTCTTCAACTCTGGCGAATTCAATGAAAAAGATTTATGTATCTTTTATCTCTTTAGGATTTAATTTTGGAACCCATAAGTAAAGATGACATATGAGTTATAGCCTGATTTTTAACCAAAGGGCAGAATGGGAGGAGAGGGTTAGGAGAAGGGAGTGAATTCTTATGTTTCCCATGGAGATTCCCTGTTGCAAATCACCCAACTCGAAGCTGCTATTATTTATTGAAGGGAAAATGTACAAGCATCACATTGCAGCTGTTAAGTTACAAAAGAGAATAGTGCAGCATAAAGTTAAACAGAGAAAAAAGTGTCATTCTGGCACTATAATCTTGTTCTAAAGGTTCCCTCTTCCAATAGCTGCTTTTAGAAAAAGGAATACTTTGGAAAATTGGATTATTTTTCTATAGATTATATATGGGTTGTCTTTTTTTATTGTGTCTTGGGCTTCGGTGCGGATAGATGTCTGGCAATCTAAAGCTCATTTATAACCCTTAAATTGTTTTTTGGCATTTCAGGTTGGCATCACTCTCTTCACTGTATCTCACAGAAAATCACTTTGGAAACACCATGATGTAAGGCTTATTTTATTTAACTGTTCTTTTTTTCTAATGCATAAAATCCATTCGACATTATCCATGTCTGCTAAGGAAATAAGACTAACTTGGTATGTTATTCCTGGATAGGTTGAAAACAACATACATAGGATCTCTTATTATCTGAATTAGGGGGCATAATCAAACAGAAAACTTGCTCTTTAAATATTTGGGTCTCAAAGCATAAAGTTTTAAGCCCAGGAATTAGCTTGAAGGCATTATAACATTTTTAATAAGTATGGGAAGTCTCCAGGTCACAAACCTCCCACTTACAAGTCACTTCTAGATTACTAACTTAACAACTACATTGATTCATTTAACAAGAAAGGTTATGAAATGCAGCAAAATTCACTTCACAAATGTTTTGCTTAACAACAGAAATGTTGGGCTCAGTTGTGATCGTAGGTTGAGGACTATGTATATTTAGAAACCTGTTCTGACCCCCTCCTCCATCCAGTAACGAATGCCGAGACAAGCTTAACTGGAATGTACTTTAATAGCAAGACATCAAAACCGCGGTGGCTGAAAGCCAAGCATAACAAACAGATAAGGACCTTGGCAGCAACTCAGACAAATTCGGGCAGCAATAAACACAATCCAGCCTGCCAAGCTCACAGTATTGTCCTCCGCCATTCAATCCTACGTTGACTTCTGCAAAGAGGGCATGTGTGCACAAGTAGCTTTTTATAGTCTGAAAAGGAGCCTAATGACCAC